AGAGATTGGGGTGTGTATCTCCCTACCGGTACAACCTTCCATAAGACTTACCATATCATCACCGTGTAGAAGGACCTTAGCTATAGGATTGATAGGACGAGGTTCTAGAGATTGGGGTGTGTATCTTCCTACTGGTACAACCTTCCATAAGACTTACCATATCATCACCGTGTAGAAGGACCTTAGCTATAGGATTGATAGGACGAGGTTCTAGAGATTGGGGTGTGTATCTCCCTACCGGTACAACCTGCCCTAAGACCTACCATATCATCACCGTGTAGAAGGACCTTAGCTATAGGATTGATAGGACGAGGTTCTAGAGATTGGGGTGTGTATCTTCCTACTGGTACAACCTTCCCTAAGACTTACCATATCATCACCGTGTAGAAGGACCTTAGCTATAGGATTGATAGGACGAGGTTCTAGAGATTGGGGTGTGTATCTCCCTACCGGTACAACCTGCCCTAAGACCTACCATATCATCACCGTGTAGAAGGACCTCAGCTATAGGATTGATAGGACGAGGTTCTAGAGATTGGGGTGTGTATCTTCCTACTGGTACAACCTTCCCTAAGACTTACCATATCATCACCGTGTAGAAGGACCTTAGCTATAGGATTGATAGGACGAGGTTCTAGAGATTGGGGTGTGTATCTCCCTTTCAGTCTACAGGCATAGAGGGCGCATTCCTCGTCTAGCAGTACTTGGTGAAACAGCTGCCCACTCGTTTCTGCAAAATTGATATAAAGGGAGATGGTCATCCGTCTTTCAGATGGTGACGTTAAAGGTCGGTCCCCAGACGTAAATAATCATATCTGATTGATACAGGTCTGTAAAATCCCAATTACACACACACTCACACATTCCCATGTGCAGAAGGTTATCATTTGCTGACAATGGACATGGTTAAAAATACCATTAAGTTTTGCATAAAGCGATGGTCCAATCAAAAATACACCATAGAGCCTCGGAGAGTCTACGGATGAGGGAAATGTTAGATTATGACTATACTATAGGGGGAATGGGTAGAAAGTGTAGAGCATTACACTTGGCCGGTTGGTCATAAAACTGAAGGCTTAATCCTGGTGATTGACAACACCTATTATTGGGTCAACACCCGAATGGTGTCAAATTCATCATGAGAGCCCACTACTAACTTTAAAGTTCATCATGAGAAATGGAAAATAGTTTATGATGTTGACTCTTGGCCAGGCAAGTACACTGTTAAAGAAACTGTCTAGCAGTTAATACAGTAAATGCAGTAAATACGAACAATTGTGTCTGAAACTTGACTAAATTGACAGAATCTTGCCTAAACTTACAAACCAAGAAAAAGTATTGAGCACAGATATGTATGTATGGGAATACAAAAACCTGTGGTTTTACAATCAAAAATCAAGAGTTTTTTAAATAGTTTATAAATTGAGATAACTCGCAAATTATTGGATGTTGAATGTCTGTGAATTAAAGTCTATTTGTAAACACTGTCGCTGACTATTCATAAGACTTATATAGTTTTTAATATCAGAGATTGTGATGAAGTAGAACTCTCACCTCTCTCACTCTCCATTTGTCGGTTCACTGGCTGTACCTGAGCACGATGACGGCCACCCATGAGGCTGTCACTCAAAGACAGTGATCTTACGATCCCTAAACTCTGACCCTGGCTGGGAATAGTCCTGGTTCCTTCAGACGACACTGAAGCAGTGTGGGGTCGGCTGTACTGAAAAGCTGTAGACATAGAACCAGCAGGATGATCTGGGCGGCTTTGAAGAGGGCCGATGACGGGATGAATCAATGAAGACGCAGGTGTTGCCGCTGACGGATGGCCAAAAGAGTTTGTAGGCTGGTTATGGCTCTGTTGTGACCTGGCAGTGTTCAATGTACTTGGGGCAGTTGAGTGGCCAGCATTCTGACCGTACGATTGGAAGCTTGGGGCAGCTAAGGGGCCAGCATTCTGACCGTACGATTGGAAGCTTGGGGCAGTTAAGGAGCCAGTATTCTGACCGTACGATTGGAAGCTTGGGGCATTGGGTGCGACAACAGGCGAAGGCCACTGCAGATGTTCTCTACCCAAGGACAACGCTAAAGAAGAGTTCCTCATGGCCAAAGGCATTTGAATGGGAGTGGGCATCACTGATGAATGGTGAAGGGGTGTTGACATTGATCGCAAATCTGGAGTGGGTTTAAGGAAGGACGTTCCTCCCTGTGCACTTCTTACAGCTTGGGGTGTGTGAATAGCCAACCTTGGATTGTCCATGGGTGGTATGGGTTTGGTTGGAACATTAAAAGCTTGCTGGGTGTCGTGGAGTATATGGGGTTTTGTAATTGCTGCAGGAGCTTGGAGCACAGAAGACGGAGGATCAGTCCCTCTACCATATGGATCGGTTGTAACAATTGTTCTGATACTGTCATGACTTGGAGCATAAGAGAAAGGCATGTTCTTATGGTCCTGCCGAAATCCAAAGTGTTGCTGACCATTATGACCCAAGTCTACTCTCTGACTATGAAAAGAGTCCTGTATATGCGGTTTCACTGCTGAAGATGCATGCATCATTGAATGGCCCTGGGCAGTTTCCTGGCCAACAATGGCACTAGGGAAATTGTGAACTTCAGGACGCCTGGACGACTGACTGGACGACTGACTGGACGACTGACTGGACGACTGGCAAGACTTCTGCAGGAATGCAGGGAAGACACCCTGGAAGGCTTCTGTGCTGTCTGAAACCATCAGCTCTGGTCCTGATGGAGATCGAAGCCGCTGGGAACCGTCAGTCATACGATGAACATCACCCATAGCAAAATCACCAACATCAGTACTTCTCATTTCTGGGTGAGCTGTACTTAGATTGTCAGCGACACTTGAAAAACCCTGACTGACATATGGCATGTACGATGAACTTGGATCCTTTCTCATCGTATCAATGCCTCTAGCAGAATAATCATTCAATGAATCAATCTCCATTGGTAGAGCTCTGTCTCCTTGTTGGTGACTGAATGCTCTCTCAAAGTCTGATGCCTGCATATGGTTTTGTCCTGTCTGGAACCTCTGCTGCTGCGGATGCTGCGCTTCCCTTGGGACATGCTGCTGCTGAAGCTCTCTGTTGGGCATGCTGCCATACCCATGTGCTGTCATCGCAGGTGCAGGTGCAGGTGCAGCGAGGGCCTCCATATTGTCCACATTGCTCATCCTAACTGGATCCATATAATCCGCAGGTTGCTTGGTTGGGACATGGTCCAGCATGTTTGATGCAGGAGGATCCGCTATTTGCAGGTTAGTCATTGAGTGGGGCAGGGTTGAGGCAGGATGACTGAAGGGCTGTTCAGAGGATTCAACTTCTTCTACGTCTCCTACCCCGTGTAGACGAGCTATTTCCAGCTCCAATTGCTTTTCTATCTCTTCCATTTCCTGAAATTGCCAAATTGAAACAAAAGGCACATGGAGGTTTAATACTTTAGACATTAAGAGGGAAGTTCATTTTAGTGCTTTTTTGCAAACATTACTACAAAGCAAAAATGTCAGTGCAATTTGGCTTCTTTTTTTTGTGGGGGGGGGGGGGGAGTGGTATATATTGTGCAACTTTTAATATCAGCCACTTCAGGTATCATCACTAGATAATTTAGTAGGAGACCAGCCTGTAGGTCCCGTGACCAATCTCGGGGAACAAAGGTTTGAAAGTGTTTTTGTGTTCCCTGATGAATACCAAACAATCCCGGGCATTTTCGTGAGGGGTCAACAAAGGTCATACAGGGTAGAAATTCAAATATACTCCAATCGTGTCGATATGCATATCAAATTACTCGTCTGGTCATGGGGATTAAAAACATGTATAGTTTGCTATACCTCCGACCTTAAATGAGGGCGCTATGGTCAAAAACATTGAAAGGGTCAACACACTTTTGACTGGTGGTCAAATTCACCAACACAGTGAACCTTATCAAATTTCATATCAAATTACTCGTCTGGTCATGAGGATTCCAAAAAATGTATAGTTTGTTATACCTCCGACCTTAAATGAGGGCGTTATGGTAAAAAAGGTCAATGCACTTTAGACTGGTGGTCAAATTCACCAACACAGTTAACATTGTCCGATTCAAATAATTTTAGTGTCTTATAATATGTTTTCTGACACGGCAAATTCAACTATACAACTTTCAAAAGTAAAAGTGCTTACCTTGACCATGTACATTCAAAATGGCTGCTGTTTCGGTGACAAACATATATAACTTCTTATCCATGGGTTTGAGGGAAATTTCAAGGTTATAGTAACCACTTTTGGTTTTAAAAGTTGCTTAGTTGAATTTGTTATGTCAGAAAACATATTATTAGACACTAAAATCATTAGAATCGGACAATGTTAACTGTGTTGGTGAATTTGACCACCAGTCTAAAGTGCATTGACCTTTTTTACCATAGCGACCTCATTTAAGGTCAGAGGTATAACAAACTATACATTTTTGTAATCCTTATGACCAGACGAGTAATTTGATATAAAATTTGATAAGGTTAACCGTGTTGCTGAATTTGATCACCAGTCAAAAGTGTGTTGACCTTTCAACGTTTTTGACCATAGCGCCCGGATTTAGGGTCGGAGGTATAGCAAACTATACATTTTTTGAATCCTCATGACCAGACGAGTAGTTTGATATGCATATCAACACGATTGGAATATATTTGAATTTCTACCCTGTATGACCTTTGTTGACCCCTCACGAAAATGCCTGGGATTTTCAAGGGGGCAGCCCAAGTCAAAATTGTTCGGTATTCATCAGGGAACACAAAAACACTTTCAAACCTTTGTTCCCCGAGATTGGTCACGGGACCTACAGGCTGGTCTCCTACTAAATTATCTAGTGATGATACCTGAAGTGGCTGATATTAAAAGTTGCACAATATATACCACTCCCCCCCCCCCCCCCCCACCCACAAAAAAAAGAAGCCAAATTGCACTGACATTTTTGCTTTGTAGTAATGTTTACAAAAACACTTTCAAACCTTTGTTCCCCGAGATTGGTCACGGGACCTACAGGCTGGTCTCCTACTAATTGTTGATAGCTGGTCACATTATGAGTCCAATGGGGGGACCAAATGGGCCTGCAGCTAAGATATACTTTTCAATTCCATTTCAAAAATAAAAGGAACAAAGTTTGTGCATATTTACTTGAAAAGAGAAGAAGCTTGTAGACCATTCAATTGTATGAATGTTCACTGACAGGCACACAAAAGAAGAAAATGAAAGTATGAACATTTACACATGTGTTTTGTAAGAGGGAAACAAAATCATTCAATGTTCAACCATCTATGCAGGGAAAAATTAAACAGACAAACAGTTTTTAAGCCTGAAAACTGACAGCCCTGTCATCATGTACAAGAGGTTGTTGTTGTCTTACATTTAGTTTTTGCCTGTTGGCCACCGTCTCTGCTTCTAGCTTCTCCATCTCATGGAGTCTCGTTTTTGTCTCAGGAGAGACTGCATCTTCACCATCATCACCAAAGTTTAGAACTGCTACCACGTCCTGTAGGTCATTCAAAGAATGAGAAATTGAGTATCTTTTTGTCATTTCTTCCATTTGAATTTCTCTCCAAGCCATTGATTATACAGATAATTGTGAGTTCTGAGAAATAATCAATTGAATGTCTTCCGATCGGTGGTTACCGTCTTTTATGTAAGGAGTGGCAATTGATACCGAATCAGTTAAGATGGAATAAATTTTAGACCAGTCGCCACTCCTGATGTAAAAAGACAGGAAATATAATGTTCACAAAATCATACAAAACTTATAATGATCTAATCTAATGATCAATTCTATAATCCTGCAAAAGGAACTTGGTAGAAAATGTAGAAGCATTAAGAAACAAGCATAAACTGATAAGGGATAATGCTTGACAGCCCATCAAGTCATATATGTGTTCCCATATGTGTAAATATGTGTGTTGATGTGTCGTGATTCTCATAAACATACCTTAGAGCTCATGTGATCTGCTCCCTCCCCATCTGGAGGCGAGGAAAGAACATCAGCCCAGCGAACATTCTTCTGGCTCTGACCCTAAAACAACAAAAATATATAAATTAAAACATAAGATTTTGACAGTTTGGAAATCTGGAACATATAATCAAAGAGATAAAGTTGCAAGTGGAAAGGAAAACTGAAGTCTCAAGACTATAAAATTGGTTGTTGATGATGATGTCTCCATCTGCATCCTATTGTCTCTTTCAGTCTAATTGCTAATGTAATACCAAAATCAATTGTGTGCCTGAAACTGCCATGAATTGCACATGATGTCTACACTCACAAAACTTTCAACCCATATAATGAATTAAGTATAACACTGAAGTTCTGTCATTTATAATTTTGTGTTACAATAGTGTTTGGGTTTTACTACCGTTACACCTCTCTAGCTTGGTATGTTCTCTTTATCTCTGTCTCTGTCTACGTTTGACTCTCTCTACCCTCCCCATCTCTCTGTGTCTCTCTCTGTCTGTCTGTCTCTTTCCCTCCATCCCTCCTTCTCCCTCTCTCTTTCCCTTCCCCTCCCTCCCTCCCTCCCTCCCTCTCTCTCACCCTAGTAGTGAATACATTTCTTGATCAGTGAGTACTTGGCTTACCCCAGGTGTTGTAGGGATACGTCTTGCTGGTGTCAGTGAAGGTGAGCATGACTGCTCCTGTTTGTTGAGAGCTCTTTCTCTCCCTCCCTCCCTCCCTCTCTCCCTCGCCCCCTCTCTTTCTCTAAAACCCTTGTAGTGAACACATTCCTTGATAAGTAATTACTTGACTTACCCCCGGTGTTGTAGGGATACGTCTTGCTGGTGTCAGTGAAGGTGAGCATGACTGTTCCTGTTTGTTGAGAGCTTCATTGAACCTAGGATTAGGAATTCTGGCAGCCTAGAAAGCAAAGCATAGGAAAGCGCTCAATCAGCCTATACAATTTTAGTTTTATTTCTTCTTGTTTTCTTGTTATTATTTCAATGATTTCATCTTTATGAGAGATGATTTGGAGGCTATTTTAGAACACACTGAACTCACTAGAACTCACAATCACATTCGAAATATTGACATACAATTATTTGTAACAGGCGAATGAAACAATTTGCATCAAGATACTTCACAAAGACTTATGCATTACACTTGGTTACTAGCCAAATTTTTATGTTAAACAACTCATCAAGCACTGTACACAACAGTTAGTCCAACCTAAAGCCCTATTCTAACCCTAACCCCCTTTCTGTTTGACAATAAATCCTACAGATTACGTTGTCAGAACAAATGTCAGATGACCACTTACAGTTCCCGGTGTTCTTGCTACTTTAGCAGCACTCTTTGTCTTGTCAGTGACCAGTACTCTGGCCGGTGTGACTGCCCTCAAGGTCTTCGATGATACAGTGTTTGTGTCTGATGTTGGACGGGGTACTCTGGCCGGTGTCATTGCCTTTAGGGTCTTTGATGATGTGGATTTTGTGTCTGATGTCGCGTGGTATATGCCAGCTGGTTTCTCGGTAGCGGGGATGCTTGGTTCTGTTGGGGATTCGCAGAAGATGAGCAAAATCATCAATTTCAATAAAATGAACGTATGGAATTTCATTCAGAAATGCGTGATAGAAAATTATGCGACATGATACAATTGTGTTCGAAACACATTTGAAAGCTTGTGTCCTCTTGGGAAGTGTGTCGCCATTCAAGTATTCACCCGGTAACAATGTAAACTCTAGAAGAACTGTCCCTGCAAGGAAATTAATCCAATTTCTTTACCCAAATAAACACTGATATTTTGAATAATCCCAAATGATAATGTTGGGCCAAGTAGCAATTTGAACACTTGTATTGCATGTACATGATGTAAGATCTATACAAAACATGAAATGCAGAGATGCCAACCTCTTGATACACACAAAAAAAACAGAACGAATATCTTGAAACAAGGGAAACGCTCTCGGCGGTCTCGCCTGCATTATGCAATTCGATATGATGAAAAATTGAGGTTGGAACATTATTTATAGGCAGGGTGGCCCATTAGTAGACCCCAAAAACGAAATCCTCTGGATATAATCAGCATTTTGAAGTGAATATTGACCAAGAATCATCAGAAGAATATTTACTATTAATTGTACCAGGATCGATAACTTGAATGATATATGAACAAATTAATTTAAAAAAAAATTATTTATTAATTCTCATATTAAGTTGTGAAAACATAATTCAAGTCTGCTGACCTAAAATTACCTTTGACCTTGTGACCTGGAATCTGTGTCATATGATTTGTGATACTTGATAACCCTTGGGTACAAGTTTCATGGAATTTGAACAAACAATTTTGAAAATATGCTAAAAATTCAAAATCTTGATGTTGATGCCACAACATAGTCTTAGTTTGTTTACCTTAAATGACCTTTGACCTTAACTTAGTGACCTGAAATTCTACTCACATGATTGGGGATACTTGATAACCCTATAATCTAAGTTTCATTGACTAAGAACTTATACTTTCAAAATTATATCAAAAATTTCAAAAACTTAACGATGATGATACCACAACATAGTCCAAGTCTGTTGACCTGTAATGACACTTGATAACCCTATAGTCCAAGTTTCATTGACTAAGAACTTATACTTTCAAAATTATATCAAAAATTCAAAAACTTAACCTTGGGTTAAGTTTTTGATGTTGACGCCACCGCCGCCGTCACCGGAAAAGCGGCACCTATGTCTCGCTTTTTGAGAGAAAAATATGATTTTCACGAAACTCGACACTACCAATGGCCCGTTAGCCCCGGGCCAGTAAAATTTCAGAAAAATGTTTTACTGGTAAGAATGGTCAAGTAAAATGTTTGCTCTTTCATTAACATTCAATGAGAAAATAGTAAAGCAAAGTTTTTGTTGGGGTTGCAAGAGTTTTTTGTATTTTTGTATTTGTATTTTACTTGAAAGATGAAAAACAGTATTTCACTCTTATTATCGTACTGGTTGGTATCTCTGGGATTTACAACTTTAAATCATCAACTTGTCTATTTTCAATGACTTGAATCTCTCACACACATTCCTAAAAATGCCCCTTATATTACTACTGACAATGATAATATATAAGATTTACAAGGTGCCAAATTTACTTGAAACTGAATGCTCAATGCGAACTTGTTAAACTAACCCTCCCCCCCCCCCCCAAAAAAAAAAAGAAAGAGAAGAGATCATATGAAAGCATCTGTATTATAAAACAATGGAACAGAAGTAGGATAGAACATACAAAAGTGACGGAACAATTAATTACATGCCAAATTAAAAAGATACATGTACTCACTGATATATAAGGATCCTCTGTTATCGGGCAGGAGACTATCGATGAATGCAGTCTTGAAGTTCGCTTGGTTCCCATCCATTGTGAAGCGAGACAAGGTCCTCTTGGCAAACTCACTGTAGACCTTGCTGACATCGTGGTTCTTGGGTTTCTGGTAATAGATGGATGTCCTTCCAGTTGTCTTAAAATTAAAATTAAAAATGTTTTCAAACATGATGTTAACTATAATAATACATCACATTTATAACGCGCCTAATACTTTGATTCTAGGCGCAGTATATACAATGGTCATCGGATTCAGGCTTACCCGTACACAATGTATGCACATTCTCCACTCCCTGGAGAGCATTCTGGCCAGTGATCTGCTGTCGGATGACTTATCCACTAGACCACAACACCTCTATATAACTATACTATCTAACATTCTCCCATGGTTATAAAATTTGATGAACTTTAAAAAAATTATCAGGTATTAATTTGACTCCATGTGGAAAGACACATCTCTTCAAAGCTTTGTAAAAAGCGATCGGTGTTCAGTAAGGTAAAGGTTTACTTGTGGTAAATTAACACAGTATAAATAACCGCGAAAGATCATACCGGTACACAATATCATCCATTCATATATCAACTACAGGAGGTATGATGTATCAATTCATGTTATTTTGATTCCCTTCACATTTTGGACTGAGAATTCAATAAATAGGTACTGTACATGTAGTATCTTTATGCCTAAGTGAGGAAATGGCAAGACATAAAATCAAACCAAGATTTTGATTAGCTTACTGTTAATTGCATTTATCTGCTTAGACTATACTTAGAGTGTTAGAAGGCGCGAAGGCTTACCACGTTAAATCTACCAGACTGTCTCTGTTTAGCGGACATTCCTGAAATGGTCTGGCGCCCTCCCATGATGTCGTGTTGCTTATCAAACGAGTGCAGTCCGGTGTTGTTCAAGATGCTGGCAAGGGCATCGGTACTCTCTTCAAAAGTTATCCCTGCGTCTGGATATCACAACAAATATATGTATAGCAATAAATATTGATAATAATGATGTTTGTTTAACCGACTGCTAAGAAAGCATGCATGAATGCTTGTACGTAAGCAGCAAGATGGTTTTAAGTCCTCTCTGAGGGACTTCGTAATAAGGATTAATGCCTTACCAAAGTGCATGTGCGCATTGACTTGGGACCTCTTGGTTACGAGACCATACTGCTCTACAACTGAGTCATCGCTCATCCTATTTCCTAATACTTATAACGTCATATCATAGTAAACTTTGATTTCTCCATTCATCTATATGTACATTTTCTGCTTTATCAAAACCAACTAAATATCAGGTAGACTTTACCTACAAGACATGTGACTTTTATATCCACAAAAAAAAAAATATTGGGAGTAAGAATAATAGTCAGAACCAAAATCTCTGGAAAAAACACTCAAATTTAAATGACTGCAGATAGTAAGATCCCCAAATCTGATTGATACAAATTTTAATATGGCTACCTCTAAATATGCCTGTGTTTTGCAAAGATATACAAGTACAGTATGTCAACCCATCCACTTAATAGTGAAAGTAATCTAATGCACACATTCACTTGTAGTTAAATACATCAATTTAGAGAAGCTTACATAATTAACTCTCAGACACTTATTTCACCCTTTTGGACCAAAGCATTAAAATTTATTTACCATTTTGTTCTTGCAGGAGAGATTTTTTCCCATGATGCTTCCCTCCTTTGTCGATTTCTCTGACCGCGGAGACATTTGAGAAGTTGTTGACCCGCCCTGCTCCTGTTGATGACAGCTGTCCTAGAGTCTGCCTCCTTCCACCCAGACGTGAGGCAACCACTGACGAAACACCTGTCGACAGATTTATATAATTACATATCAAGATAAAGACTGGGTTTGACTCAATAGCAAAGCTCAGAGGGCAAACAACCTTCCATATTTTAGAATGACCCCTACATTCAAGGTTTCTCCCCCCCCCCCCTTAAAGCTGAAATGGAAACAAGATGTAAACAGTGACCTGAAAAAGTCAACACGATAAAAAGATTGGGCATGACTCCCTTTTGTTTTAAGAACATCCTTGAAATAACCCCCATATATCTCAATGTGCAGGTTCAACTATCCTGGTGGGGTAGTTGTCTCAGGTCACTGGTGGTAAAAATATTAAGGGTCAATTGTCCTGGCTGTGTTGTCCTGGCATCAAGCCAGAGAAATCTGGGGGGGGGGGGTGTTTCACAAAGCTTGTCATCAGTGACAAATGACAGTTTTTTGTTATAAGCTTCTGAAATCCTTGCTTCTGTTTGGTTATATTTGTCACTGATTTGTGTCTTTTGTCATTGAAAAAAAGCTTTGTGAAACGGGGCCCAGGTATTTGAAAGCCTTGAGAGTTAAGGTAACCAAATTTGAACATAAACACAGAGAAATATTGAACTACTGACCTGTCCCAGCAAGAGTTGCTCTTGAAGACACTCTGCTGTCCTGCTTGATCTCTTTCTCCTCCAGCCCTTGACCGATGAGGATGTCGTTGAGGGCGCCATTGTCTACCTCAAACTCCTCCTCCTCCTCGCCCCTGAAGCCCCCGAACCCCGTCTGTCTGCGGCTTTTGACGTCTTTCTTTGTGCCATCGTAGTAGGCACTCTTGAAATGGGTGCCTGGCCTTGTCAAATCAAAAGCCTCAGTCTACAGCAAGTTCATGAAGAAAAAAAGGAGAGTTGGATGTGTTATAAATCATTTATATTGGTAAATTACTGATCAGTTCATTATGTTTCAGTGGTTTCAAATCATTTCAGTCCTTAGCCCCACGTCTCTGGATCAAACTCCCTCCCCTTGTTCTTAAGAAACAGTACTTCACTAAATTTCTTCAAAAAACAACTGAAAACTTACCTGTACAACTCCTCTTAAATTGTTGATAGTCTAAGAGACAGCGCCTTGTAACCTTTGGAAAAGGCACTTTATAAATCCAATTATTATTATTACTATTATTTAAATCATATCATCTGCTAAATTCCCCTTGAAGGCATATGAAATGTCTGCTGTATTACCCGGTTAATAATTTACTTAATTTCCAGTACACAAAAATTTCATAATATAACAAGTGACGTTAGTGACCTCTTTTTGTTAATATACAACATTTTGTCATCAAACATCAAATAATTGAGCATAGTGTTAAAATTGAATGACCTCGGTAAACTAGTGTATGTACATGTAATACCATCATTTGTATGTCACAACGATTGCGGCAGAGTTCTGGATAACCTGAGGTTTCTAAAGTTGGGTATCTGGTACTATACTCTGTCCAACAGACTATTGTAATAGTCTAGGTGACCCATGAAAAATGCATGCACTAACTTTTCAGTTGAAGCTTTGTCAATAAATGGTTGAATTTTGCTAATATTATGCCATGCAAATGATGCAGAGCTGCATTTAAAACTTACATAACTGAGCATTGTGACATGATCATCAAATAGAACTCAGATATTCCTAGCTTTCTTGATGGGTACAACAACTCCTGAGTGCCATCAATTTTAAGAGGTGGCAAAGGCATATGAGATCGAAAACTACATGCAGAATTTCTGTTTTTGTACTACCGGTATTCAACTTGAGGCCATTCAATCTCTCTGAACTCAGCAAAGCAAACTGAGCGTTAATAGCATAATAATAATTGCACAATCAAGAGGTAACAAGTCAGTTTATGGAGCTCAATTTAAGCATAACCATTTACCTGTGTACAAGGCTTTTTGGCGACCGCTTTCCCTTGCTGAAGCTTTTTATTCCATGATTTGTGAAGCTTCTCAAAGTCTGGGACCTTCCTGCGTGTTGGAGTAGAGGCGGCTGCTGTTGTCTTGGAGGCTGTTGATCGGGTGGTCCTCGGGACAGGGATCCTGCTGTTGGGCACTGGGATTTTGCTGCGGAACAAAAGGCCAATAAACTCCAGTTAAAGCCCTACTGCACTACTTACAGCTACTTGCGCCCTCCTTTATAGCAAACAATGCCTAGTCGGTGACCATTGGTCCCCAATGATCCTCTTTTTCTTATGTTAATTGAGAGCTTATTTGATGAGATAACCACCTGTCAGTGACCATGCAGGGGGGTCTAATCCCTCCTGACCAAACTAGTGCAGTGGGGCTTTAAGATCCAGTTACCGCTAAATCTGCGGTGGTGCATTTTTAGTGTCCACTGCTTTCAGCATACATTGTCTACAGCAAGGTCTTGTAATCTAATATTGCACGTCTCATAACCTAACCCTCCATCTTAGGATTCATAATAACTTTGAGAACCACCTCTGTCAATTTCTCAATTTATCTTGAATGCATTTCAATCTCAGTGTGGCAAGCCAAGATTTTAAAAGATTTTAAATATATTCATATTTCAGGCATATTATCACTTCTTAAAGCCCCACTGTACTACTTGTAGCTACTTGCTCCCTCTATACAGAAAACAATGCCTAAGCAGTGCCTGTTGGTGCCCCACGATCCTCCTTTTCTTATGTTAATTGAGCGCTGATTTCATGAGATAACCACCTGTCAATGACCATGCAGGGTGGTCTAATCCCTCCTTGCCAAACTAGTGCCTTGGGGCTTTAAGATCCAGTTACCACTAAATCTGCGGTGGTGCATTTTTAGTGTACACTGCTTTCAGCATATATTGTCTACACCAAGGTCTTGTAATCTTATCGCAAGTCTCATAACTCATAACCCTCCATCTTAGGATTCATAATAACTTTGTCTTACTTTTAGAAACACTTCTGTCGATTGCTCAATTTATATTGAATGCATTTCATTCTCAGTATGACAGGCCAAGATTTAAAAGGGTTTCATGCAAATTAATACTTCTTAAATAATAAATTTAAACCTCTCTTACCAGCCGTTTGCACATTATAACAACAAATAATGTTCAAGGTAGATTCCATCCATCATTAAAATAAAAGGCATTTCAATGTGATTCCATAAACTTTGATAGACTTATGGCAGTTTTGTAAGACACTGTCTGCCCTCTGCAATACAGTCTATATCCTTCACTTACCTCTGCTCTGTCTTCTTTGTAAGTCTTGTAGATCTTGTTGATACTGGTGCCTTTGTTAAACTGACGTTCTCCTTATTGGAGCTCCTTGTAGTAGGTCTAGATGAAGTAGTAGGTCTTGATGAAGTCTTTGGAAGGGCCTTTCTCCTAGTGAATGGGAAAACAATTTGATAGTGATACTTTATTACCAGCCTACTCGTGTGCGCAGCGCTTTGAAACCACAAGGAAAAGGCGCTATATCAAATATCTTTTGGATTGGATTGGATAAGTCTAACTTAGATAAGTCTTCTGCAGATTTCTTCAATGTAGTCTACATCTACAGATTATATTAAATCAATACTCATATACAGTACATGTACATGTACATGAACAGTGTACATCACATTATAGGCAGGAGGGAGCCCTATATTTTTATTGCGATATTGCGTAAAATCTCATTAACTCATTTAACTGTACTACATGTAAACTGCACGAGTGATCTCATCCTCATGTATTTCTTTCATCCAATGCACCCATACGATAATGGACAAACAGTTATACAGTGTACATCAATTCATGGAAAGTATTGACACTTGTTAAGGTCAAATCTTGAGCCAAAGTTTGACTTTGTTGTCATGTTTGTTGATTTAATGCATAAGGCCTACAATGTACTGATCAGGAGAAACCACCTTTTTCTACATGGGCATTTTTACATGTAACTTCATGGTATCTGACTTTTTTTCTTTCTTTTTTCTTCTTCTTTTCTGTACTTTTCAGAACTAATTAATTAATCTATTTTGTGACTGAGAATAGAAATCACCACATTTCAATGAGTGTCACTCACCTCAGGTTGTAAGTTGATGAAGGAACAATTCCACTCTCTCCTGACGTTGGCATTGTTCTGTGAATAGAGAAAACAATTAGATCTACATGTAAGTCTAAAACACAGAAGATAAAACAAGAATCAAGACATGGGGTAGATTCTAGACAGTAGTCTTTAAAAATCTTACAAATTGACCGTATAATTTGCTGTGAAGATAAATGAATTAACAAGCCTCTCTTACGCGAGTGGAGTTTTGCAATTGCATGTGAGCAAAAAAGGCAATGCAACTGGTCAACATTTCTTTTGCAATTTCTAATTCTTTAATATTCAAATTTCTTTTAAACATTAAAATAAAAGAGAAAATATATTTGATGGATTCTCACAACATTGCTATTTGCTAGTCTAAATCCACAACTAGACCCTATAGATCTAAACTTAGTCTATAAAGTTTATAATACTGTATGGCCATAGAACCAAAATAAACAAAACTTCAAAAGAAATGGTGCTAGACTAAGTTACATGTAGAAAGCCTAGAATAGATCTAGAAATAGAATCTATGGCGGGGTAACCAAAGTTCGCGCGTGACCAAAGTTCGCTTTCTCAAAAAATCGGTAAGATTTCGAAAATCTGATATCACCAATGGAAAGAGGGTCATAAAGTCACCCAGAAACGAAATTTTCTTTAGAATTGGGTGCGAAATTGTGAAAATATTGACAAAAGATCGGCAAATTTTGCAGTTATTTGCGTCCGTTCCGAAAAATTATCAACTTACCGATAAGGGTCTGGAAATCTTCATTTTGAGATCAGAAATCCTCAAAATTGTAAGTAAAGAGTGGTACTAACTGATTGTACGATATCTTGCCTTGCAAATTATGATATTACCTTATTTTTGATGGAACGCATTTTTTGATAAATCAACTGTAAACCACCGTGCGTGAAGTTAGGTCTCATTGTTTTTATGACTTTTTTAGATGCAGCGCGCACGCACGATCGGACATCAAATTTTTAGATCGCGATATCTCCGAAATCCTTCGACGGTAAATTTTTCTAGTTGAACCAATTTGTAGTAAAAAACTTTGCCGTCCATTTGGTAATAATTGAAATAAATAAAGTTGTGTAGAATGTGAGAAATCATAGATCGAATATCACATTTTGTAATATGTTCTAAAATGTCCGCGAACTTTGGTCACCCCTTCATACACCTAAAAATGCTAAATCTGAGGACTTTTACTTTTTAAATTTTAGCCTTACAAAATTAAAATAAAAAAGTAGGGTCTAGTTTGTTTATGATGCCCCAATCTACGACGTTCAGTTTCACTTCAAAAATCGGCAGTTGACTGCGAATGCAATCAGTGCAGTGTGAGTGTCACAGTTTGGACTTGGAGTCTGAATCCGACTCAGTTACTGTGTTCGACTTGACTGTTGACACTGACAGACACTTCTTTTTCAACTTTCAAGATCTTGTTCGAAATGAAAAGTCAAGACAGATTAAAAAAACTTAATGTCTTGAATTAACCTGAATATACGTATGAATTAATGATCAGGCCATACTTAATTCAGCAGTAACTAGTAACACTGACGACACGCCAGACTCCACGTGCAATTTGCATGATGATGATGAGTGAATGTGTTAAGAGTCGAATGATAACAAACACAATATGGCATGTGTGGGCCTACGTAGAATGAAAACGCACACAATATTATTGTCATAAAAATCTTCCTATAAAGTAGAGCTACACAAATTCACCATATTATGAAAATAAAACTACATTAAAAAGTATACTCACAATTTATAAGACTGAATATTCCGCAAAAAGGGCGAAATATGAAATTCTTAGAAGCTTTCTTTGAACATCGCCAGTGTCGGAATATTGAAATTTCCCACGGTGACGTCATGAAAACAACTTCGACCAATCACAGTTGAAGGGAAGCGTCGTACAAGCGAGGCGATTCGCTCGTGCATGACGTGTAAACATTTTGCTAGTTCCTTGGGTCGACTGCCTGAAACGGTGGTGGGGGGGGGGGGGGGGTGGGGGGGGGGGGGGACAAATTGCATACGCAATGCGGGGGGGGGGGGAGGGGAGGCGTACACCGCAACTATTTGTGGTAAATCTACTAAGCCGGCGATAATCGATCTTTAATACAATAATGATGATAGGGTCTAGTAATAAAAATAAGTAATCATATAGCAATAATATTTGTATTAGTAAGATAATAATAATAATGATAATGATGCTGATAGTAATAATTAAAATGATAATAATAATAATATTAATGATAATAATTTATCATTATCTATCGAAGTGGAGAAATTAGAGTGCGGTGCCGAGTCTTCTGACTTTCTCTCGGCTTTGCTAGAAATAAACTCCTAGTATAGACCTGCTCAGGATAATGCACCTAGTGCCCCCCCCCCCCCCCTCCTCCATAACAAAACTGCATAATATACGATTTTTTCAAAATGCATTTTGGGGGCTTTGGTACTCAATACTTCATATTACACATTTGTTAAACCATTTTTTGAATGTTAAAGTGTCAGTATTCATAATTATAATTAGCATGTCTAAATGGCACAACAGCATGTTCTTCTTACCGGCTTCTTCTTGCTGGCGAACAGAGCAACAAGACCAAGCTCTGTAATTATTAGGATCTCTGTCCAGTAGTGCCGTGTTTGTGCCATCGAACTGCATGGATCAACCAAATCAATTGATTCATAATATATGTATATGCAATAATTTTTCCCGTAACATGAGAGTAATTTTAATAGTTTCATACTATTAATTAAATGTATTGTTAACTGTAACTGTATAATTGTTTTAAATGGGGGCACGCTACAAGAGTCCTATCTCGCACCCCGGGGCAACGTGTCTGACACGGCAGGTTGTAGCAACTACTCCGAAGATCAAGATTACTTAATCTTGATCTAAGGAGACACGAACGAACGAACCGGCTTCTTATAAATCCATGACAAAAGAGCATTACATCACAAAGCACCGTGCACTGAAGCAGGATGCACTTGAGTGTGGAAGGAGACACTAGTAACCAATCAGAATGGAAATAATTGACGAAAGGGCCAACAAAATAACACAATGCTAATCGAGGTTAGACCCAAATATAAAACCACATAAAGTGGTGATTTTTTTGTTGTTGAAATTGACAATATATGAATATGAATGAATAATACGGGTTGGATTTTGTCAATTTCATATAAAATCGTCAAATTTGTTTAAATATCGTTCAAAATTGACATAGTTTTAGGCAAACACCTACATCCATGTTATTTGAAGACTTTAATTCAACATGTACATAATAAATATCAAAACTCCGATTAAATTAACAGTGTCTTGCATTAATTCCTTTCTGTCAAAGTTTGTCCATTCATTGTTAAAGCAGTTACTGTAACACCACTACAAAACAGCATAACATGCATTTTGACTTGAGCGTAAAATGTGAGATTTTTCAAAAAAATAATTGAATCTTGTAAGAGATGCCAAATGTTGTATTCAGACAAGTTGAACCATGATCCATAATTTATGCAGTCACAAAGTCTCTAAAGGCTTTTAAAAGAACACGTTTTGCCTTATATCTCATCAACTTCAAAATGTCTGTTATGCTGTTTTGACAGGGGGGGGGGGGGGTAGTTAATATACCTCCTCCAAAATCGTGGGCCCCACCATATTAGTTGGCATCATGAACGCACTGAAAGTTTTAAAAATGAGACAAACATATATCTAGAAGCTCAGTTAGGAAAACAATACAGAAATAATCAAAGAAGGTAACCAAAGAATTGTACCGATCGCAAATGGGAAACTTTGCGACCAATACAACTTTTTAACACGTATACCTCTCTCATCTCTCACCTCTAACTGCATTGAATGTTTCATAACATTGTCACCTCAAATGTCTCTTTGTTGATTAAAAGATTTGTGCTAGGCCTAGCCATGTAGGGCACATTTTTGTTTTGAAAACAAATCAATTTTGTTTTCCCTTCTTCTTCTTTTTAGTTTCTACCCATCTCTTAATTCCCTTCTTGTTCATTTTCTAGTATAGCCGACTTCTGAACTTATATCATTTATGCCATATCTTTTCCTGAAAGGGCCTAATTTGAAATAAAACTAAAGTTTTCCCGACACTATTTCCATACAGGAATTAGTTCTACCGGGCTCAAGTAATGAACATAAAACTATTTTTTTTCAATTTCTGTTGCCCCAACAAAGGTGATGTATAAGAGTATGTGCAGTGCTCTATATGCTAGAAGTTAGTTATTAACCTTTTGAACAACAATTCAACATGTTCAAAAGAATCATTGAATATAATTTCATTTCTTCTTATCTTTATATCTTTTTTTTGGTTTACATCAGAAATACTGTCATTTTTTAGATTAAAGAGAAAGACTATTAGAAATGGGTGAAAACAAATTATGGGTCCGGAGGGGGTATGACAGCCCCTCCACAATAGGGCAGGAAAGAGGAAGGTCAGGAAAGAAGAAAGACCCGTAAAAGAAGAAAAGAAGGAGAAAATTAGACGGGAAAGGGAATCTGATATACAAATTCAGTTAGAGAATCGTATGACATACGAAGTAAGGAAGAGAGAAAAGGGATGAAGGACGCATTAGAAATAAAGGAAAATTGAGAGGAAGAGCAAGATGGGGTGCCTCTCCAATCCAAAATTAGCTATAAGAGCATCCAAGTATTGGACCTATAACAAAAAGCAAACACATCTGCATTACCGGAGTGTTGGCTCAGTCAGTAGAGCGTCCGCCTCACAACCGGGAGGTCGTGGGTTCGAATCCCGGCCGCGTCATACCAAAAGACTTTAAAAGATGGGAGTTGTTGCTACCTTGTTTGGCGCTCAACAATAAGGGGATAGAGCAACGTCGATCTGGCGCTGCTCAGTGGCTGCCGGGCTCACGATCAATAGGCCAGTTTCGTAATGTAACCAAATTTAATGCATAAGTCTTTGTGAAGTGCCTCAATACAAATTATTTCATTCACCTGATAAGAATAATAGTATTTCAATAGTTAGAATGCAGCTAAATATATTAAGTGTTGCTAGGTAGGTCAAGCCATAATGTTTGTCCAACCTGGCAACAACTAATGTATGCAGTTCAGATTCTGTCTATTGAAATACTATTATTCTTATCAGGTGAATGAAATAATTTGTATTGAGGCACTTCACAAAGACTTATGCATTAAATTTGGTTACATTACGAAAATGGCCTATTGGGCAAAAAGAATTTCCGTTTCGGTTTAATAAAATTTGTAGTGGACTATTATTATTATTATTATTACTATTATTATTATTAATTGCAGTATATACCACCCTCTCCAGGGAGCATGTTTAGAAGGAAGGAGGAGAATAGGAGGAGGGGTGGTGATAGTGGTGGTCGGATGGAATTGACTATCGGATCTCTGTAAACTTACATTCTGTGTGTAGACGTAGACGTATATAAGCTGCTTTATGACGTCATGATTGCGCGCTTAGACTTGAGTGCTACTGCGCGTGCGTGGTAAACTTTCTACCACTAAAACAAAGGCTACGCGCAGGCATAACAACCGGTGATATCCACGCCCACCTGTTCAAAAGTAAAGGATCTGAAATACAAATTTGACGTGTAAAGCTATTTTAATTGAATTTAAACAGTTAAAAGGCTATTCTTTCATGAGATAATCAAGTTATCTGCTACTTGAAGCAATTACAAAATGGGTTGTGCAGCATCAAATAAAACACGGGTAATCGCGGTCAAGTCCGTTACGCCGGATGAGCCCGAATGCCTCCGTGTCAAGCTCAGTTCGAAATGCGACGACGTCAACGCTGCCCTGGTCAAGAAACAAATCTGTGAAGCCCTTCAGATATTCTCCAACCGTATCACCGTTGATGCAACCAGCCAGAAGGAGTTCTACCTGGTCACGGTCAACACGCTGCCTGGTGATGAACCGGGGACAGTCCCGGCCACCATGAAGAAACTCGTAGCCACCATTCTGAAGGAGTGCATACCAATTGTCGATAAGTGCAAGATAATCAGCTCCAAAGTCTACGAAACAATGGGTGAAGATGATTAGCACATCGAATCTCATCGGTATCAACAATCAAAATTCCTGACAAAACATTTTGTGATATAAACTGGATCTAACTATAATAAGATGAAACACATTTCTTGTCTTACTTGAGGAAGGCACTATGAAGAAGAAAATGGTATAAAATTATTATGGCAACCTGCAGGACATGATCATGAATTTGACTGTACATTATGACAACAGAATTATCTCCATGGGATTTTGGGATGCAATTTTCTAGAAAATACAGGTATGTAATTTTGCATCTGTCTTCAAAATTGATCTTATTATTCAGAAGACCATTTTTTGTTTCATATAAGTTATTGACTTTAGTAATACGTTACATTATAACGTATTACTAAAGTCAATCAGCAACCATACACATTTCTTTACAAGAAAAACTTGTAAACCTTGGCTTTGGCTTCAAACCCATCTTTGAAATAAAGTCTTTACACTACAAAATGGATAGGATTTAAGAAAAAGGATATACTCTAATTATTCCAATGAAAATTTAATGTGTTTCTAAACAAATTGAGTTCACTAGCAAATTATCACTAAACTTAGAAAAATTGTGGCCGGCATAAAAGTGTTTGAGTTATTATACTTTTTGACATATTACCTTGACAATATATTATGCTTTCATGTGTTAAATACTCAAAGGCATGCCATATTCTTTTCTGCATGATCCTGTTTTTATTATTCCTGTTATGCCCATCTGTCTTTCTCTCTGTCTCTCTCTGTCTCTATCTCTCTCTCTCTCTCTCTCTCTCTCTGTCTCTGTGTCTGTCTGTCTCTCTCTCTGTCTATCTGTCTGTATGTCTCTCTCTCTCTCTCTCTCTCTCTCTCTCTCTCCTTTTCAGCCATGACAACATTGTGGAGCATGATGGATCTTTTGAGAAGACGATGCAACCCCTTGGCCGATTGAAAACATCTCGTTTAGATTTTAAATAATTAAATACCAAAGGAATGAAACATCGTCTCTTTCATTTTATTGTAACTTAATACAAGTTGTATGTAACTTTATGACAAAACTCTAAAACTGTGTGCAGGTGGTGGTGTCAGCAGGCCGTAGCCAGAGTTTGATGTTTTTGTTTTTGTTTTGTTTTGTTTTGTTTTTGTTTTTGTTTTTTGTTTTTTTTTGTTTTTTTTTGGGGGGGGGCACATATTGTAATCGATCGAGGTAAAAAAGGGGTCTAAAAAAGTTCAACCGATCTTGGAAATTTAGAGGGGGCACGTGCACCCCCCCCCCCCCTTGCCCCCCCCCCCCCCCCCCCCCCCCCCCCTCGTGGCTACGTGCCTGGGTGTCAGTAAAAGCGAGAGAGCTTACTCGAGAGAGAAGATACTAGAGAATTCGGGCTCGGGTTAGTTTGGAAAAAAAGGGGAGAAGGTGAAAACAATCATAAATAGGATGCAGAGCAATATAGCGAGTTGGCGATTAGTGGAGGGAAAAGAAAGATAGCCCAACCAATAGAAAGATGGAAAACAAAAGAAAAAACAAGAAGGAAAATCATACAGAAAAGAGCGGATGGTCTTATTATCTCTGGCTACAAATTGAGTAGTGAGACATCGGGGGGGGGGGGGGGGGGAAGGTGGCGTTCAATCAATTTTGTCCGCCGTTGACTAATTTTGATCAATCAGAGGCCTGGAAAATAGTCGGTGAAAATGATATTAGTCGGTGAAACCACCGACTAACCGAAACGGCCCCTGTTCCCGGCCAAGAAGACCCATTCTCCCAAGCAAACCAACGGGTAGACATGATGACGATTATGATGATGATCAAGATAAGGATGAACATGCTGATGCTGATCAAAACCCATGTACACAATATGGCTTCTGTCTTTCTTTCTTTTTCTCTCCTCATTCATTACTATTCTGCCCGACCATTTTCTTCTTCTCTCTCTTTCTCTCTATCCGTCTTGTTATCCCTTTGTTCGTTGTGCTCCTTCTTTCATTCTCCCCCACTTCCTCTTCTCATCTCTCTTCAACTTTTTGTTCCTTCTCTCTCTCTCTCTATCTTCCTCCCTCCCCCACTTCCCTCTTTCTCTCTCTCTCTACATCCCATCCAAACCATGTAACTTAAAATTATCTCCCTTCAAGCACGTTTTCTGCCTGTCACATTAAAGTGATTACCAGTACTGTATGTTATAAGTCAATAATTCTTTATTCATGGATATAGAAAAAGATGATCACTTCAAATGACCCGAAAATAAAACATATAAAAGGTGAGTACATTTGTGACATTTATGTATATTAAACCACATTCTCTACATCATCCATAAGATCAAGAAACAGAAATACAGGGAAAGGATATTCAGCAAAGGTCTTAATAAGTATCTCCTATAACCAAAGAGTACAAAAGAATATTGTCAAAGGATGATGCTTGATGAATTACCGATCATTCATGATCACTAATCAGATACATCTCATTCACATCAAGACATTTGTTTCTCCATGACCACAACAATGGAAATGCAGTTTACAGAGACATTATTTGATGAATTAATAAAGAATTAAAAATGTACATATGGCATTGTACTCTTAAATGCAGAACATTTTAAAGTGGGGAAAAAAAAAGAGATAACAATCTATTAAAATAATAAAATGTATATCTCTACCTAGACATGGAACCCGTTTTGAAAATATCGAAATATCATTTACCTTTTTGTTAGAAACGAAAGAGCATTAGGAACATCAAGATAATTCACTTGAACATACTACAACAGGTGCAATGTATGTCATAAAAGGTTACATTTCTAATGAATTCAGACATTTTTTTTCATACTTATAACAAAATGCACTGAGAATAAAAAAAATAGGCAATTCCTCTTGTTGCACACTAGTTGAACCCTTTTACATGAATATTATTCAGAGATTTATATAGATTGATGTAATACACTTCACCAACTTTTCTGAATATTACAAACGTTAAATACAAATCTTAAGTTGCTTGCTTGCGTGAGGTTATGTAAATTGGTTTGAAAGACATCAAGATGTTGAACAATTTTTTTCTTCAAATTCAAGGACTACATTGTTTACTAAATGTATACTCAACACCAGAAGACTATCAACCATAACAACTATTTTAAATGTCTATAAGATTTCCTTTGGGTTCACGGGATTTCAAAGAACTTGGGACGCTCTTCAGCTCAGTAATTATGCCAGAAGTACGAGTATTTTATTTAGTTTTTAGTTAAGGTAAACTACTTAGCCAACATTGGTATTCAGTTGAAGCTTTTGGCTACATGTAAGTACTTTAACCTAAATTTAAGACGGCTCTATAGCAGACTTAAGACAATTATTTTGATTGGCAGGCATATCATTTTCATAGGCACAATTATATCAGAGCACATTTAATGTGACACGTTAATTGCACAATATTTTGGAATGACTGTGTGATGTCACAAAGCTATTAAGTTTTTTGCCTTAAAGTTAGCTTACTGAAATAAAAGGCTCAGAAGTAACCTGAATATGAGTTCAGATGTTTGATTTTGACTAGAGTATGGTGGAAAGTACATGTACGCTGCTATAATATTTAAAATACAAATCTTTCAAAAGTATGATTCTAAGCTATAAAGTATTGAAAAGAGAGAGAGAGAGAGAGAGAGAGAGAGAAGAAAAGAAACGAGCACGCGCTCTAGGTGGGTGTAGTAGAACACATGTGAATTATATGTTTGTTTAATTCATCCCCCCCCCCCCCTCCCCCCATCCATAGAAAAATAAATCTGTATTTAATTAACATGCATAAAAATCACCATCCCTACACAATCTGACACATTCCATTGATTTAAGATTAAAGAATACGAGGGGAAATGATGTTATATCAAGACCTGCATGATGAAGTTGACTCAGAAATCAAACAGGTGTGTAAAACAGTTTAACTAACAAATAACTTTTATGTGTTTTAATACTGTGTTTTTAATCATGCAATATATCTCTGGAGACAAATATGCGAAGCTGATATTTTCAATGTTGTATATCAAAATGAAACCGGAAACGTAAAAAAACGTAATAATTTGGGGTAACTGGTGCTCTTTCGTAAATGTTTAAGCTTGAACTTGAATGTCCTTTGGCAAGACATGTACATACATTTGCCACTCTCCACCCGGTGTTAAATAGTTACCAGGTAGGATGCGGATGTGGTTGTATTGGCAAGTGTGCGCTTGTGAAATGGCGCCTGGCTGGAATACTCCCCAGGGAGCGGAGCGTGTGCACTATCACGTGCAGATTAGCAATTGAATCCAATGACTGGGATTATCATGATTACAATGTAAAGCGCTTAGAAACATAGTGTTAAGAGCTATGTGACTATGTCTTTTATTATTATTATCATTATTGAACTAAGGCCTGAAAAGTAAAGGTTAAACTACAGTTTTAATGTTAAAATCAGTGATCAGTACTACACACCAACAACACATAAACAATATTCCCATATATATACAAACAGGTAAGCTATTATAGATTAAAAGCCTCGCACTACACACAAACATATATGATTTATACAATAAATGTTAACTTAACTAACTAGACCAGTTGTCAACAAGAGGTAAATTCCACATGGGCAGTAACAGATATTTGTTTTAATTTTTTTGGTGCTGGATATCTGCTTTTGTTTGATACGGCTTTGTGATGGACAAGGGAAATATTTAGTGTGGATAAAATAAACATTGGAATAAAATTGTGTAGGTTTGTCCATGTAGGTCCATGGTTTGTCCCATGTGGAATTTCTGTGTAAATATTCTGTCTATGCCTCAACCAGCTACATGCATAGTACATGCACCTTGGTCAAAGTCAACTTTATCTCAAATACGAGGCCAAGAAATTGGTCTTTATTCGCTCGTCTGTCTGTTCCTTCTCTTTCCTGGGATCAACTGATGTTTTGCAGACTGGTTACATAGACATGGTGCTGGTGATGAACTGTGGGGAAACAAACAAAAAACAAACAATGAAATATATTTTCCTTTGAGGGGTCTTACATATAACATGCTATGGGGGAAAAGAAGAAGAAAAGAGTGGGAGAAGGGAGGAAAATGATGTGTGGAGAAGAGAGAGAAGAAGAAGAAAAGAAAAGGAAATGTTTTTTCAAACACCTAGGCATCCTTTCATGAAACCATCATAAGTACAAGTTTATCAAAATCCCATTGAAATGCATGTTAATGTTACTACACACATTTCTTAGAGGGGGTGTAGCATGGCAAATACTGGTTAACGCCATTTACGACCTCTTTTGAACAACTGCACGTAAACGAATGGACTTGATTATAACGGTCAGCACGCGCTACTTTCGTGAAACAGACTGAAGTTTTCCTCACGCTTTGGTTTCGCGTATGTTGCACGCACGTGAATACTGCGGTCGCGTCATCCGTAGTCATAATATACCCGATTAGCCCAGAGTCAGGCCACAGGAAAGACGTGTAGTCTCGTCATGCTACACCCCTTTAATACCTGGGATGTGGGTGAATTAGTACTTATGACGGTTTCATGAGACACTGCCCTGAATGTGTGAATGAATGAATTCAAACAGAAGAGTAACATTATTTTCATTTAAACCTTATAGTGCCAATAAATTTGCAAACAAAACAGGCTCTACAAATAGGATTGTGCAAAACAAATTTTCAATCACAGCGAGTCAAAATTGTTTGTCTTGATAAGAGAACAGGATGCATTCTTTAGCACCAAAATAGACACAATATAATAGATAATTATTTGTATAACCTATCTATAGCACTATAAACATACAAGTAATTGAAAGATGAAATATAAACAATTATTTTGTTATGACTTCCTGTTTCTAGACAAAGGAAAGGAATGAATATCAGGGGACTTTCCCCCAATTTCTCAACAGCTTTATGTTCTGAGTCAATGCGCTTTATACTCATGTATGTGTGGGGATAATTAGGAGCATTGGCATTCTGGAATATTGGGTAAAATCAATCTGAACATCAAGCAAGCATTTTGTTGTTGTTCTGCTTAAAGTTTGAAAAATATATCATGCCAAATATGACCACATGAAAAGTGCATTGTAAAAGGATAAAATCACCAGCTCATATTCAAGTATACAAACACTGTAGGATAGGAGAAAATAAAATGAAGTACCTGTATAGAAAGATTATGAATTTTGAAACTCCTAATCAATCAATTATAAATTGGCAAATTGGCAACTCTATGATTCCCTTTTAAGCAGCTTTCAATGAGTTATGATCAAGAAAAACCATCAAATCATATTTTCTTTACAATAATTAGCATTCATTATTCATGTACCCAGGCAAAGTGTAATTGAATAAGTCCATTTGATGTTTTAAAAAAATCCCTTCATCCACAACCAAGAGGCATGCTTTGAAAGATTTAAGTAAAAGCAAATGGAGCAATGCTAGCAAGGAAAATAGTATATTTGTTGTAGCCAATATTGATCAATCAGAACTTTAAAATTCTAACTCCCTTATTTGTGACTCCCATCAAATTGTTGTCACATGTTCATTGACCTGTTTATCTCTTTCTCTTTCTAAAAATTAAAAAAAAAACTTCTGAAATTCCAAACTTCCTTATCCTATATCACTCAGATTGTCTTTCACTTTCACAAGCCTATTTATCTGTGTATTTTTCTTCTAATTTATAACAATAACAACCTGATTTTAATGTGGACGTCCCATTGATTAAAACAAAAACTGTTTCAATACCTTTTCTTTTCTTTGCCTTGTAACATCACACAGACATAGTCATCGTAATGAACTGTTTATGGAATGAGGAAGCACAATAAGCAATTGATTATTCTGAATACTCAGTGACAAATCGTCGGCCAGAAATCAGACGAGCATTAACTCCACATTGACCCAAAGCAGTTCACAGTTAATAATAATAATAATAGGCATTTCTATAGCGCAGTCTATCTGGAAATTTCAGAGGCGCATTTATTATTACCCCGGCTTTAGCCTAGCTGCCATTACAGCGCTCCAGCATTTCAAGGAATTAATACCTTCCAGGTACCCATTTACATCACCTGGGTTGAGTTTCCTCTAAAGGTCTAGATAAACCAGGATTTCCACCTCAAATGGGCAACAATTATTGGTCTTTTCCACTCTTTCATAGTTAAAGATACTGGGTGGTATTCCGGTAGCGCGTACTAAGTTAGCGCGTACTTTAATAGTTAGTTCACACTTTTATGGAGTGCCTGTTGCAAACTAATTTACCCTGTACAGATTATTTTAATCCTTCAATGAAAAATGTCAAAAAAAATAATTTTGCAATGAAATGGGAAATAAAGATAATATGAGTATGAACTGAATTTCAACAAAGTCTTTGGTAGATCATCTTTGTCATGAATATTGAAGGAGGAAGATGAAACCTAGCATTCCATAGAAGTGTGAACTAAAATTCTTGTTTAGTCTGGACTTAGTCCTGGCTTAACTTATGAGAATACCACCGACTATGTCCCTTTTGCAGCCAACCAAATTCTGTAGAACTTTGCAGGAATTATGAATATGTCAGGCATGTCCTATCTGTGAAATTTAAACGTTAGCAGTGTCCAAATATTCAAATAATGCAAGGAACCTGTTTACTTGCTAGACTTCACTGTCAGACACTATTGAGTGACTGACTGGCTTTTTTTTTCTTCTTTGGTAATAACATACATATAATGAGCTGTAAAGGGTACATGACCATTTGTCTACATCAATAACCCACTTCTTGTGATGGCCAAAATTAAACTGATTGAATCTTTGCGCAGCATCAAACGTTTGACCATTCGGTACAATAGTCTGAAAATCAAGACTATTACTTATTGGCTCTATAGCTCCTAAGTCGATTTGACAACTAATAGTCGTTATTTTCCCACTTGAAGACATTTTCAAGCCCCACTTTTTTAGGGAAGTTCTAAATTAGTATTATCTTTCAAATGCCGTTTGAATTTAACCTTTTCATTTTTTGGCCTGCAAATGGGACATAGTACCTTTAAACCAAATTTGTACAGGAAAATAGTGATTACAAATTTCACTCTGCGTTGCCAATTTGAGACTTCTTACTCATGACCAATGTAACGCGACTGCAACAGAAATAGGCTCAACTTTTTCAGAGACTTTTGGGCTTTCTGCTCATGTACAGTTTGTAATTAAGAGCATTCTTGATTTTAAAAAATAAAATTGATAAAACATCACAAAACAGAGACACTACACTGCTACAGTTTAAAGGATAGAAGTTAATACCCCTCTGAGTTTATTAAAGCAGAAAAAAATCAGAAATGAAAGAAGTAAAAGCACAGCAATATGAAGGAAAAAGAAAAAAACAAAATTACCCATTTATAAAATGAATTACTTGAAGTCCAGGGCCCCAAGAATACATGCAACATATTTATCCCAGTTAGAATTTACTTTTACATGTGTTTCAAAGAATCAACATTTTGCAAATGAAATGGGTAAAAGCACAACAGCATAAAGAAGAAAGAAAATAAAAATACCCAATTATAAAGTGAATGACTTAAAGGGAAAGTCCACCCTGAAATTAAGTTAGTTTTAATAGGAGTAGAAAAATGAGAGAAACAAGTCAGTGAAAGTTTGAGCAAATTCCGATTAAAAATAAGGAAGTTAGGATTTTTGAAGTTGTGATCAATCAAACACAAATTGGCAACTCTATGACGTATCATGCGAGCTCAACTTCCATTTGCTCAGTACTAAAAAAATCTAAAATTTTCATTTTCCCTCAAGAAAAATTTCAACCATACATGCACCCTAAATATAATAATTGCAAATATGTTTCTATACTCCCCCTGCAAGGAACAAATATATATTCCGTCATCAATAACGAAGAAAACATGATTTTATGGAATATTATGCACAAAGCAAATGAAGGAGAGCTCGTATGATAAGTCACAGAGTTGCCAATTTGTATTTGATTGATCACAACTTCAATAATTCATAACTTTCTTATTTTCATTCAGAATTTGCTCAAACTTTCACTCACCTGATTTTCTTATTATTCTGCCTCTATCAAAACAAACTTATTTTTGGGGTGGACTTTCCCTTTAAAGTACAGAGCCTCAAGAGTCAAGATATATATGCTGGCAATGAGAAAAGCTAGAACACTAACTTGGATGTCTCTATTGTGTTATTTTTTATAGTGGCCAATTCATCAACTTAAAAAGCAGCTTTGTCGCACCATAGATAATAATGCGTATAATATATTGACTTCCCATCAAAACTGTACATTTTTTAAGCTGTGCATGAGATGAAAATGGCTGGTCAGGAAATATTTAAGATTGTCTCTTGTCATGTTAAGGTGAACGTGGGGATATACAAGTAGCCTTTTACCTCATCATACTGCATCATAGCGTTTCCATTCTGCTGTGTGTCTTTTCTCCTGAAGAAATCTATTGCAACAAGAGAAAAGGGAGAGCAAAAGAATGAGATGAGTTGATGCTCCTAACCATTAGGAGCCAGAGCATATAACACTGAGTTCCTATAGGAAATATATTCATTCAGATGGTCATATCTCAGCCAATACTTAACATATTCAATTGGTTTTCGACATATGGACATTCTTTTTGATGCTCTTTAGGAAAATGAATAAAAAAAATTGAGAAATTCTAAAAATAGATTTTTATGACGTCACAGCTTCGGTACTCTATATAGAAAACAATGCATAAATAGGTAACCATTAGTCCCCCTTAATTGAGAGCTGATCTGATGAGATAACCACCTGTCCAGTGACCTTGCAGGGTGGTCTAATCCCTCATGTAAACTAATACAGATGGGCTTTAAAGATGTATAATGGAGTTTTCTTTTTAACTGTCAACGTACCTGTCAAGGCACGTAGACGCACTGCACATCCAACGAATGCATCAAACTGAATCCGACCGTTCACTCCATATCTTCTTACCAGGGCATTGATGGCGTTGGGTGATAACCTATAACCTGCAGTATCATGAAAAGCATAATAACACAATAATTCAAGCTCGTACAGTAAGTGAGTCTAATGATCAGACTTAGTAATACACTGTTAGCAAATTTGCTCAATATCAATTGGAAAAGTATAATTTACAAAAATTACAGTCATAGAATTGCGTACAGTAGTCTTTGAAATTTGATTTGATTTTTTATTTTTTGTAATATTAAATTATCGCTACAAATGATTACAGATTCTTTACTTACACTATATATGGTCTAATTGCATACATGTACATTTATTGGTAATTAAATAATTTGGAACAGGATACAGGATACAGGTTCCAATTAAAATATTTGGAGAATGTAACTGAACTGTTTGATTAACAATTTCTTGGTTGACTAACAAAACAAAAAACAAAACAAAAAATCATTTCCATAAATCATTGGTGATATCAGAACAGTCCCATGACATTAACTACTGTCATTTATAATGGTTTCATTACCTTTACAGATTGATTCGCTTCAATGAGAAAAGGGGGGGGGCAAGAAATTGAGAGGATAGAGTGAAAGAAAAGAGTAATATAAGTAGCATACCTGCATATGCTTTACATGTGAGCTAACCCTTACATTTGTGAAGGAGTTTGAATAGTTCAATGTATGCAGTAACATGATATAATCCTATATAAACTGTACATGATGTACACTATTGCCTTAAAGGTACTATGTCCCATTTGCAGGCCAAAAAAATGACAAAGTTAAATTCCAACTGCATTTAAAAGATAATACTAATTTAGAACTTCCCTAGAAAAGATGGGCTTGAAAATGTCTTCAAGTGGGAAAATGACTATTAGTTGTCAAATCGACTTTAGGGCTATAGAGCCCAAAAGTAATAGTCTTGATTTTCAGACAATTGTACCGAATGGTCATACGTTTTATGCTGCGCAAAGATTCAATCAGTTTAATCTTGGCCATCACAAGAAGTGGGTTATTGATGTAGACAAATGCTCATGTACCCTTTACAACTCTTTTCATGTATGTTATTACCAAAGAAGAAAAAAAGCCAGTCAGTCACTCAATAGTGTCTGACAGTGAAGTCTAGCAAGTAACAGGTTTCCTTGTATAATTTGAATATGAGGACACTGCTAACATTTAAATTTCACAGATAGGACATACATGACATATTCAAAATTCCTGCAAAGTTCTACAGAATTTGAGGTTGGCTGCAAAAGGGACATAGTACCTTTAAGGTTTTGGCATTGGGATGTGACGCTGACCGACCGAACTGTTACGCCGATAACCAATGTTCTGGTCGCGCCCTTTAGCTGCCCCAGATTTTGCGATTGGATACTGAAACGAAGGGGGGGGGTCTGAGAGGAGAGAAAAAAGAGAGAGGAGGAGAGAGAGAAAAAGAGAGGGGAGAGAGAGAAAAAGAGAGAGGGGGGGGGGACAGATAAACTGAAGAGGGGAACAGATAAACTGAAGAGGAAGACAGAGAAAGAGAGGGCAGAAACAATGAAAGGAGCAAATGAAAGATCAAGGAGAGAGAGGGGGAGATAGAGAGAGATGGGGGGGGGGGTTAAAGTTGAAAAGATATGAATAAATGAACATAGACATTCAATCTTACCAAATGCAGCAAGTGCTGCTGTCAGTTCATGAGGCTCGATTTGACCCGACCTATCTCGGTCATAGGTCATGAAGGTCGTTTTCCATTGGTTGAGAACGCCCCAAAGTTCTTTGAACTCTGTGAAACCCATCTGTCCTGAATGATCTCGCTGAATGGAGGGCGATGGAAGTCAAGGAAATATGAAACATGATATTTCTATGTTACATCTGGAGGCCATCCACACTGTGAGCTGGGGCCTGTTTCATAAAACTTGTTATCTGTAACAACTGCTAAATTTCTATGACAAATTTCCTCTCAGCCAATCAGATGCCATGATTTCAGGAGCTTATAACAGTAGCTTTCAACTTGCTATTGATATCAAGTTTGCTCTCAGCCAATCAGATGCCATGATTTCAGGAGCTTATAACAGTAGCTTTCAACTTGCTATTGATATCAAGTTTGCTCTCAGCCAATCAGATGTCATGATTTCAGGAGCTTATAACAGTAGCTTTCAACTTGCTATTGATATCAAGTTTCATGAAACAGGGTCCAGATTCCCGGGTCAAGGAATGAACCTCAATTTGAACAAACCTACATGTAGGACGAGCCAGTTAAAGAAACACTCTCCCAGAAACTCTGTTTTATACTCCATTAAATGAGAGGGAGAGAGAGAGAGAGAGAGAAAGAGAGAGGATAAAAAAACTAAAAGGAGTTTTGCAATTAATTTTGATACAGTGAACCCTGTCTATAAAGACCACCCAAGGGATACAAGACAAGTGGTCTTTATGTACAATTGTACAGATTCCTTTTTTTAGTACAGGTTTCAATGAGAAACCATTTTGGAGGGAAACATTTTGGAGGGTGGTCACTATTAAAAGCAGGTTTGACTCTATTTATCACCTAATTTCCAGGAAATCTGATGACATGTTTTGAGGCCTTCCCAGAACTAATCACATGGTTTTAAAAGGATACATCAAGCATGTTGATCATTAAGGTGCAGGTCTCAAGGCTGAAGGCTGAAAAGGAAATTTTTAAAAAGCAAGAAAGAAGGGGGAAAAAAACACTGTTAGAAATACTTTTTGGCTAGATAAAACAAACAAATAGCATAGCAATAAACAATCGTTTGTAAGTGCCATGTGCATAAAGTATAGACCAAGACAGTTCTTTACTTTACAAAGAGTATGGTTGTAATTGTGTATAACTAATGTATTGTACATGTATACAAGCAAATCAGAAAATACTATGTGAGGATAAAACTCACTTTTTTAAACATTGGTTTTTTAAACATAAGGATTATTCTATGGAAGCTAGTCTGGAATGTACTTAAGACGGCAACCAAATGATACAGTACTAATCTAAAAAGAAGACCAAAGGTAAATCTTACGCTGGTAGTTTCCCGCTATCCCACTTGAGGTCAGGCATCGCTGGAGCTCCTTCGGATCTATCTGTTGATCCTGTCAAAGTAAAGCAAAGCAAAACGGTAACAGGTATTAGCTTTGGAGAAGAAAGGTACCGGTAGGCCTACTGTATTTGCTTTTACATTTTTGCAAATCTGTATTTTGGTGAAGTTGCATGATAGCCCTAGGTCGCCTTTCAATAAAATTTCACTCATACAACAGCAATAGAGTGGTGAAGTGTGACGTCATCAAAACTTTATTTTTAAATTTTTTTTCAATTGTTTCTTCATCTTCCTAATCTTTCTAGAGGGTGTGTAGTCCTGAAAAAGACTTGGTGTAGTCTTGAAAAATACTGTTGGTTATCTTTCTTAGCTTATAGTTCTAAGGAGAAATATAGCGCTTGGAGAGGATGGGTGGCGGGAGTGGATACAGAAATGGGAAGCCTATTAAACTTTATTCCATCATTAAAAAAACCTGCTGCGGTTTTGCCGTGTCATATCTGAACGAGCTGTACAAGAGAGAGAGAATTGGCTCCTAGTTTCTCTTTCATTATGTAAATGGCATGTAGATCCTGTTACTAATATTTCGTCAAATTATTGATCTGTGAAACACAGGTGATGCCTAACCGCGTCCTCGGTTCAGTTTCAGCAACATATTCAGTGTGCCTACGACAACAAAACCACAAAACTAAGGTTTATTTAGTCAAAGTATTGTATAATTGTACGCTTGTTTGCTCCGAGGTAATGATAACAGCTCTTTCAAATATTATATTAATGGCACTAATCATTGCCTGCTTTAAAATTAATCACTTTTGGATAACATCGAAACGTGTTACAAGAGAAATTTAATGCCATTGATTACTTCTGCTGTTTGGAATAAATAGATATAAACATAGAATACTCAAATTTGACACATTTTTTTCCTTTTTAAACTGACTTGATTCCAAATCTTTCTGAGGTTATGCATTTAATCATTTTCCATTTTTAATGAAACAATGTTGTTCAGTTTCAGTAGCATATTCACTGTGTGCAAGAAAGAAAAAAATCCCAAGAAATGTTTATTCAGTCAAATAGTTATGTATGAATACATGCACATGTATGATTTTCTTTGCCGTGAAGTACTTATAAATGCTCTTTCAAATAATACATTAACGTTAATTCATTGCGTGCTTTAAATCAAGTGCTAAATTTTGGTAAAAACTAAACATTTTAGGATAACATCTATACATGATGTAAGAAAGATGTAATGTCACTGATTACTTCTGCAGTTCGGAAAAAATGATTATAATCCTAGAATGCACAATATGGCTTTTTTTTTTTAGGGTTGTGCTATTTTTGTATAGATTGGGCATGCTTATCAAATGACTTGAATAATTGAATTCTAATCTTTCTGACAAATTCTGAGGTTAATAATTAAAGTAATGTACCGGTATATAATTATTCACCTGGACAACAGTTACAACAGAACCAAATAAAAACATCATTTGATTTTTAGTTCAAGATTAGATGATTTCCTCTTTAACAAGTTTTACATGTTTGATTGTGCAATAAAATAACACTATTTCTTGAATAGGGGCCACAAAAAATGTAATGCTGAAAAACAATCTGATGACAAAATACATGTAGTTGCAAATATTTGCCCACTCCGCCCATGTCATACTTACATGTATAGTGCATATCATTTACTTCTTGTGCCATTTCCTCTTTGGAAAATATATGCTTTTTCTGTTACAGAGTGTTTACTTAATTAGAGATAACAGTGTGTCACAAAAATGAGAATGAATCTAAGATTACCAAGCAACAAAATGGGGCTGACGTCATAATACTTACAACTTACAAGAGACCTACATGCAGATTCAGTTTTTCAGTATTTTTCCACTAGATAGAATTAAAATATCTGATTGTATTCATTATACAAACAATGACTGTGATTGTTTACCCATTACAGGCAGATCAAATAGAAAACGTCACTGGCAGTGTCAAGCCCAGTTTTATTGCCTCATGTCTATATTCTACATACAGTCATCCCGGCCCCCCCACTCAGAGGTCGGAATGACCGCATGCGTGTTGCCAAAATGTCCGGTAAAGGGGTACTTTTCGTGCGACAAAGTCCGGCCCGAGAATTGTAAAAAAAAGGGGTGTATTTGACTTTTCACCCGGAGATTTCTTTAAAAAGGGGGTGTTTTCTTTTTTTCTCTCATTTCTTTGGACTCCTGAGAAATTATTCCGAATTTAGGGGGGTACATTGAGCATTTTTCCTGATTTAGGGGGGTCTCCAAGGCAGGAAAAGCACGCGAAAAGCCCGCGAAAGGGGGGTTCGGAAATGTTGGCAGTCCTCAGATAGGGGGTGCTTTCAAAAAAGGGTACGAGCATATGCGTACCCTAAATAACACTGAGTGGGGGGGCCGGGACAGTCATACATGATCTGTTACATGTGTATCTGTGAGGATCTAGGACTGAGTAAAATGGCCCAGGCTACATGGGTATATTGCATTTTATGAAAATGAACACACATTTTTTTTCTTTTCTAATGAACTTTATTTCAGGAAGATGATATATTAAAGGCCCACTGCACTACTTGTAGCTACTTGCGCCCTCTATATAACAAACAATGCCTAATCGATGACCATTGGTCCCCCATGGTCCTTTTTTTCTTATGTTAACTGAAAGCTGAGTTGATGAGATAATGTCCAGTGACCTTGCAGGGCAGTCTAATCCCTCCTGTAAACTATGGCAGATAAGCTTTAAGCAATTAAAAAAATGTAATATTTCATAACATTTTACCTCAATATGATAATAATCCCCCCCCCCCCCATGAGAAAGAGAGAGAGAGAGGGGGAGATAGATAGAGAGAGGGGGGATAGAGAGAGAGAGAGAGAGAGAGAGAGAGAGAGAAAGAGAAACAGAGAGACAGAGAGAGAGACAGAGAGAGAGAGAGAGAGAGAGACAGAGAGACAGAGAGAGAGAGAGAGACAGAGAGAGAGACAGAGAGAGACAGAGAGAGACAGAGAGAGAGAGCTCTTAGACAGAGGGTAAGAGGGAAAGAGAGACAGAGCAAAATAACTAGATTTTCATTTTTTTTTTTAAATTGTATCTCTACCCAAATCTTTTGTGTATTTATGAATCCTTCCTTTTTCAATGTAAGATACAAGTACACGCACTTGTGAATGATTTGCTTTATAAATTCTTTATCTATACCTGAATTAAGATGGAGGATGTAAAAAAAAGAAGTGACCTACCTGTCCAGCTACACTTGCAAAATAGCCATATAACGGGTCCTGGAAGGAGAAAGATGTTTAAACTTATGATAAATTATCGCCAGAACAAAATTATCGAGGTGAAAAGCAAATTACAATTTTTCATCTTGGACTTGGAGTCTGAGTAGCTGCTTCTATGAGGCTTCATTGTACATTATCTTCTTTTTCTTCCTCTTCCTTTTCATCTTCTTCTTCTTAACATTATATTATTTCTATCACATAGTTACCATGATCAATGTTATTATTACTACCATGCTTATTATCATTAGTAGTAGTAGTAGTAGTAGTAGTAGTAGTAGTAGTAGTAGTAGTAGTACAGCTAGTACTAGTACAAGTAGTATTGGGAGTAGTATTATTAACTATTAATATATTAGTCTATTATTATTATTATCATTGTTCTTAATATTATTAAATTTATTATCATCATCATCATCCTCATCACCAATAACACCTACCTGACCTCCTGGTTGACCATAACCTGGCGCGCCCGGATAGCCTTGCTGAGGTTGAGCACCGTAGCCAGGGTAAGCCATTACTGTATGATGGAGATCTGAAAACAAAACAGATATATTTCGTAGTAATAAAGGATCAATCAAATAAAAAGAGATATAGAATCTAGTATGTTCTAGAATTAAAAAGGACCAGTGTGTGTATGTGTGTGTATTGGGTTTTTGCAGACGTGTATCGATCAGATATGATTATTTACGTCTGGGGACGAAAGACGCGACTCAGGTTTGAACCTGGATCCTCGGCTGAATCATCTTGTAACTTCCAATGTTAGCTGGATTACAGGCGCACGCCACAATGCCTAGTAAGGAATAACTCATGCCTTTCTATTCTGAGTCTTCATATGAAATCTAACATTAAGTTTGAGTGCGCACCCTTTTCTTAAGTCTTAGATAAAGAAAAATTCCTCTAGAAATCTGCTTCATGATTTTTGTCTCAACAGTAATACTGTTTGTTAAAATTCCTGTTGTTAGTATTCTTATGATTATTTAGTACCTAAATCAGGAAGACACTGTCTGTTAACTTTAGATTTCCATCCTTAAAAATTTACATTTATTATTTACAATACATAAAATTTGATTTGATTTGAAAATCGAATCGTAGACCTAGAACTAGAAGGATAATACTTTGTATAGGTATAACGTAGTGTGCGTTGGCCTTATCTGCTTTTTGACACTTCGATCTGCATATTGCATGATAGCCACTTCAAAGTTTAAGTTTAAGGCGTTTATGTATTCAAGATAAAGAAGACAAGATCAAAACAATGAGTGAACACGGTGAAACACTGCATAGATCGATGCTAGAGTAGTTTCTTATCCGTAGTTTCTTATCCATATTTTAGTTTTTACCCGTAATTAACTTGTGCGTGAAGTTAGCGACTGTAATCTCAGATCCTCAATAAATTTCTGAAAGAAATTCACATTATGACAATGATGATCAGTAGGGACATTTAGATTGAGTGGACGAGAACACGACGAACGCGGACTGATCATGCGTGTCGACGTACTCAACTGCCCATGTTGACTACAATTAGAAATCTTTTAGATTGCACTTGACGATATACAACCATGCAGGAAGTAACACTATGAACATGACGGACAAAGAAAGAGGACAAAATATACAATTCCTCATTCTACCCTCAACAATTGCTGTGGTAGACAAAAGAACATCCCTTCACTAATATGTAAAAATGTGCAGAACAGCTACAGGTGAATATGCATGTGACACCTGCTCTACACATTTTTACATAATAGCAGGAAAGGGATGTTCCTTTGTCTTAGTGCTGTAACATCACGGATATCTCCAATTCCGTTTAACCGCCTGTCAAAACCGGACGGTTTTCGGTTAAACGATTTATTTAAAAAAAAAAAAAAAAAAAAAAAAAAAAAAAAAAAAAAAAAAAAAAAAAAAAAAAAAAAAAAAAAAAAAAAAAAAAAAAAAATCGTTTTTTTTTTTTTTTTTTTTTTTTTTTGGCCGTGTGAAAAAGCAGGAAGATGATTTAACTGAAGGCGCCGATTTGTGCTTGTGAACTAGTCACAAATAATAGTAACAATGTCGTTTTAGAATAATGTGTAAGATCATTAAAGTAAATTAAAAACAGTAGAGGACCTAGGGTAGAAGATTGTGGTACACCATGTGTTAAACTTGGATGAATATATATTGAGATCTATTACAAAGATTACTTTCAAACCAAGATGACAGACAAATTGGAGTGTTGTTCTAGTTTCCAAGTGGTAAGTCATCACACCGATTACTGAGCTGGGAGACATTGCCAGGCATAGTGGCAGGTGGAGGGGTATAAATCGAAACTTTTAAAAAAAAAAAAAAAAAAAAAAAAAAAAAAAAATTAAAAAAAAAAAAAAAATTATTAAAAAAAAAAAAAAAAAAAAAAAAAAAACGGGAAAACGAAACCGTCCAATTGGAAACGGAATCCGCCATGGGCGGTCGGATACCGGACGGTTAAACGTTTGACTACAGCACTACTTTGTCTACCTAAGGAATTGTATATTTTATGCGCACACGGTATATACTAGTACCGTACTAGATTTAGGAAAATGAAGGTTGACGCATTCTCGATCGCCGACTGAGACGACGTAACGCATGTGCAGTGCCTTAAAATGATGTCACACATTGCAGTCAAAGCTGTCGACGTGCAAATCTAAATGTCCCTATTATCGCTAACTTCACGCACGGGCGCCTGTCCGCACCCCTTCGTCGGTACACAAGTTCTTCAAAGGAGCTTCTTTCCAGATGCCACCAGACTCTGGAACTCACTACCGCAGGCCGCCGTCACCTGTACCTCTCTGCTAAGCTTTTATAAGAGAGAGGTACTCAAGATCCAGCTCCGTTAAGCTACGGATGTCTTATTTAACTGCACATAGCTCATTGTAGACCTTTTACTGAGGCACTAAATGTATATATAATACACCTGCACAGCACCTACAATCAGTACGAGAATACACCCGACGGTGGCCTGTACTTAAAGTTATAGAAGAAGAAGTTACCATAGGTCCTACTGCATTTCGTTCACGTTTGTCACACTACGTTTCTCACACTACGTTTCTGTCTCTGAGGAGCTCTGACCCTCATAATTTTTGCCTTAACCTTCTTGAAAATTTAAGTAAGACCCCATTGCTTACCTTTGTTCTGGTCGAAACGTTAACTGTAACAAAAGCTTTAATAGAGAGCAAGTCTTGCGGACGTACGGACGTAGATTTGAAGCTGTATTTTCAAGCGCTGTGCTGTATATATAGAGTGCGTGTGCATAATAAACGTACGTATATGATAGAGCGAGTGGGAGCGGCGGAAGCACGATTTCGTGGGCGGGGCCCGATAATGGGGCGCGGCTGGGTTTCTGGTTTCTGGAATAAAGGAGGTTCAACTTCAACACTTGCAGTGGCGGATCCAGGGGGGGGGGGGGGAGGGGAGGGGAGCTGTTTCGCCGCTAAATATTTTCTCACGAATTGGGCCCCATCCCCTGCCGCCGACTGGATCCGCCCCTGGTAAGCAGCCTATACTATTGACTTCTTTTTTCTAGTTCTACTGGTGTTGTAATAGTATACAAAGTGGTTCAAAGTCAAGCTCTAATTTCATGCCTCCCTTTCCCACTCTGAGCCCCGTTATAATTCCACATGCACTGCCACATCGAGTCGCATATTTTTACTCATTGCAACCCGGGATTGCAACTGACAAATTATAATGAATAATTCCGTTAAAACGGTACGTGCCACATTCCCCCACCCCCGATTAAACCTTAAGTGTATCTCCTATGACAGTGCCCTTAATCCAAATGAAAAAATTCTTTCCCGCCAATATAATAAAAACGTGTCCCTCCCCGGTCTCCTTCTTAATAATCCGTAGGCCTAGTGCAGGTAGCGGGGAGCCGTTCGCCCTATTTTTTTTAATCTCTTTTTTCTAGAGCCGTCAATTTATAAGCAGAGAGACCATGCTTTTTCATGCTTCAAGGTATATATGAATTATATCCCATTCTCACTCAGGGTCAGCCACACAGTTTTCACAAAAACGAATCCTATTAAAAGTCGATTACGACAAAAGGGCGAAACCGTGCCCCCACCCTGGGGCTGGTTCGTCCGTTTGGCAGGGTATAGGTCAGTGGCGGATCCAGGGAGGGCGCCCGGGAGGCCCGGCCCACCCCCCTTGAGAAAAAAAATCATGTAAAAACACGTGATTTTTACCTTTTTGGGGGGTTTAAATTTTCGAGGACCAAAATAAAAAAATGTACTCACCCCCCCCCCCCCCCCCCCCCCCCCCCCCCCCCCCACCTGACTTTTCGGCCGGCGCGATTTTCAAATTTTCGGGAACAAAAAAAAAAAAAAAAAAAAAAAAAGTAGTACTCACCAACACAATTAATACAAACAATTTGAATGAAATGCGCTTAAACATTGCTACTTTTGAAGTTGAATAACATAAAAAGTAACTATAACAATTCCATACTATAGGCCTATATTAAAATATCTCACATTGTAAGATCACGCCTATATAACATGATATCATAATCTTCTTGGCATTTATTTCAGTGATTTATCACCAACAAAATTTGTAAACTCACATTGCGTGATTTGTAATGTTGGGAACGGAAATAACCTTTTTGTGATTCCAGGAATTAAGAGAGAGAAAAAAACCCCGGAATTTCATTATTACGACTTTTAGTACAAATTGCAATTGGTTAACATGAAGGGGGGATTTTTCTTTCTAATGGGAAACAAGTTAAAGTTTCATTTTCAGTTTATTGCTTCCAAATTTCATGTGATAAAAACATTACAATAAAACAATACTTTGTAAATCATAATCACGCAAAATGAGGAAATTAGATACATATTATATTACATTTTTAGTTATTGATCGATTTATTTAATAGCTTTTAAAAGAAGAGGAATGTATTTATTTGATAGTGAAATATAACGAAACCTAATAAAAAGCAAAGCTTGTAAACAATAGGTTCCGTTCAAAACATGATGAAGAAGTGCCACTCAGTGGCGTACGCAGGATTTTTTCAAGGGGGGTTTTGACATTTTGAAATCGGGCCAAAAATTTCGCAACGACTCAGCCAGCCGCTGAATAAGCGGGGGGGGGGGGGGGGGGGGGGGGGGGGAGGTGAAAGAGGACATATATATTTTTTTGGTCCCAAAATTTCGCCACGACTCGGCCAGCCGCTGAATAACGGGGGGGGGGGGGGTACGAGGACATAATTTTTTTTTTTGGGGGGGTAAGGTCATCTTTTTTAGGTCATCCATTCTTATTATTTTCTTCAAATCTTTAGGTGTAAAAGTAAATTCAATTATTAATCCTTGTGATTAGCATACTCTGGGATTCATAGAACAATAATAGTAGAGGCAGGGGCATCGCTAGACCTTTTTCAGTGGGGGGGGGGGGGGGGGTGTAGAGGCCAACGATTACCGACAAAAGTAGCCACCAATTACCGACAAAATTAAATTTCCAATATCTACAAAGTCAACCCTATAAACCTGGGGCCGAAGGCTAAATTGTTTTTCCTATGGACTATCTATAGTACTTGCATATGCGCAAAATGGTCATTTTCCTCGACGACATTAATATACGAATTATTTCTTAAATTTAGTCAGCATCATAGCTATATATTTTAATGCAGGCGCGGAGCTAGGATCTTATTTTAGGGAGGGGCGGTAGTGAGCAAGAGAATCACTTAAAAGCGCGCTCATAAGGGGTGTGGGTGATGAGCCTCCCGCGCGAAGCGCGGAAGCTTAGACGTTTCCTTAAATTATTAGGAAAAGAAGACGATTAATTGTACCGTTTTCGACTGGTAATCCTAGGCTGAAAGAAGTTTCCCCCCCCCCCCCCCCTCCCGCGCGAAGCGCGAAAGCTTTGACGTTTCATTAAATTATTATAAAAAAAGAAGACGATTTGCTGTACCATTCTCGACTGTTTATCCTTTTCTGAATTCAGTATTCCCCCCCGCGCAAAGCGCGGAAGCTTTGACGTTTCATTAAATTATGAGAAAAAGCAGACGATTCGGTGTATTGTTCTCGACTCTTAATCCTAATCTGAATGAAGCTTCCCCCTCCCGCGCGAAGCGCGGAAGTTTTGACGTTTCATTAAATTATTAGAGAAAGAAGATGATTCGTCGTACCGTTTTCGACTCTTAATAAGCCCTACTCATCTGAATTCAGTTTCCCCCAAGCTTTTACGTTTCCTCATATCATTAGAGAAAGAACACGATTCGTTGTACAGTTTTCGACTTTTAATAAACCCCATTAATTTTGTCTGAATTCAGTTTCCCCCTCTCGCGCAAAGCGCGGAAGCTCTGACGTTTCCTTAAATTATTAGAGAAAGAACACGATTCGTTGTACCGTTTTCGACTCTAAATAAGCCCTATTAATTTTGTCTGAATTCAGTTTCCCCCTCTCGCGCGAAGCGCGGAAGCTTTGACGTTTCCTTAAATTATTAGAGAAAGAAGACGATTCGTCGTACTGTTCTCGACTTGTCTAAATGAAGTTTTCCCCTTCCGGGGTTTCATCACAATATAATGAAAGGAAGACGATTCCTCATACCGTTTTCGAATGTTATTATTATTAAGCCCTATTCATCTGAATTCAGTTTCCCCCTCTCGCGCGAAGCGCGAGAGCTTTGACGTTTCCTTAAATTATTAGAGAAAGAACACGATTCGTTGTAACGTTTTCGACTTTTAGTAAGCCCTATTTGTCTGAATTCAGTTTCCCACTTTCGCGCGAAGCGCGGAAGCTTTGACGTTTCCTTAAATTATTAGAGAAAGAAGACGATTCGTTGTACCGTTCTCGATTCGTCTAAATGAAGTTTCCTCACAATATAAAGAAAGGAAAAAGATTCGTCGTACCGTTGTTGACGCTTTAACCTTGTTTGAATTTAGTTTCCCCGAAAATTTTAAACCTCTGATTTCTTTAGCTGATATTATAGGAAAGTGAAACTTCGAGAAAATACAAGTATTGTAGTTGTAGTCACTCTCGAAGTCGTCACAGCGGATAAGAAGTCGCAGTTCGTAGGGAAAAAAACTTGTCGGCCGACCGACAATATACATCTCACCGACTTCAAACTTATGCATTGATGAGGATCGAGCAAGAATACCGACACAGCTGACCCGACACAGCAACATAATTATTTACCTGTGTCTTTCTTGCTCCCTCGACGAGACGACTCCACCCAACAACCCCCTTTTCTCTTTTACTCCCACTCCTCCTCTCTCAGACTCTTACCTCCCCTCTCTCTCCTCTCTTTCATCCCCCGTTTCTTTTGTTTCCCTTTCACTCTTTTTTTTTTTTCCTTTTCTTTCTTTTCTTTCTTTTCCTTTCTTTCCTCTCCCCCTCTTTTTCTTTTTTCTCTTTCTTTCTTCTCTTTCTTTCCTTTCTTTTCCTTTCTTTCCTTTCTTTTCCTTTCTTTCTTTTCTTTCCCTTTTCTTTTTTTCTTTTCTTTCCCTTCCCCTCTCTTTTTTTCCCTCTCTTTTTTTCCCTCTCTTTTTTCCCTCCCCCTTTTCTCTTTTTCCCGACGGCAGCGCAATTTTACCGACAATATCCTGACAGGTGGGGGGTGTCGCACCCCCCCCCCCCACACACACCCCCCCTTTGGCGACGCCCCTGAGTAGAGGTGTCGTGGACGAGTGGATATGTCACCGGACTGTGGATCACAATTTCCGCGGTTCAAGTCCCACCGCGGCACTAATGTCCTTTGGCAAGACATTGATCTACATTTTGCTACTCTCCACCCAGGTGTTAAATGGGTACCCGGTAGGATGCGAAAGCTGATGTGCTTAGATTAGCAAGTGTGCGCTTGTAAAAAATGACGCCTGCCTGGAATGCACCCCAGGGAGTGGAGAATGTGCATACATTGTGTGCGGGTATAAGCCTGAATATAATGACCGGGTTAATTATCTGTAAAGCGCTTTGATAGGGCCTTCGGTCCAGAAAAACGCTATATAAGAACTAGCTATTATTATGAACAATTCAATTAAGAATAACAAACAAAATAATTGATACTTCATAAGTCTCGAGCATCTTGTCACTAAACAAAATTTGACTCTGAAAACAGTCTTTAATCTCAAATGAATTTATCAGTGTCTAATGGTTTCTTGCAAATAAAACGCTATTGACAACATTTCACGCTTAAAAACAGTATGGTATTTACCATATTAATAATTTTCCTTAATCTGAAGAAGAAGAAAAAACGTATATACCAGAGGATGGCCCTATATGCTTTTTTAATTCCAGCACTGAACAAGAGCAGGTTTCGAGAAGCCTTTTATTACT